AAGGCTTGGCCGGCGCACCCTCTGGGTAAGAGGCCCTTCCCGCTTATTACCGCTGAAGGCTCTTTGTGTTTCAAGAATGGTCCCTGAGGCTCAGATCCTACCTGACTTTTGGCCTCTTTGGCTAAAAATGGGCTATGTGGGGTTGGGTGGTTCAGTCGTTTAAGCGTCTGCCTTCCGCTCAGGTCATGATCTCAGGGTCCCCGGATCAAGCCCCGCCTCAGGCTCCCTGCTCAGAGGGGAGTCTGCTTCTCCCTCTGCCCCTCCTCCTACCCGTGCATGCACATGCACTTGTCCGATCTCTCTCTCTCTCAAATAAATAAAATCTTAAAAATATATAAAAATGGGCTATCTTGATGAGGATTCATTCATTTCTTCCTTCGTTCAGTCAATCATTCATTTATTTTAAAGGCTCATTGTGTCTGATCTAATCATCAACCCCGTTAACTTTGAGCTTTTAAAATGGGTAGTCATTGGGGTGCCTGGCTGGCTCAGCTGGTTAAGCTTTCAACTCTTGGTTTCAGCTCAGGTCTTGATCTCAGGCTCGTGAGTTCAAGGCCCAGTTTGGGCTCCACACTGGGCATGGAACCTACTTAAAAATTAAAAAAAAAAAAAAGTAAAGCTGTTACTATGGTAAATTCTATGTTGTCTGGTTTTTACCCTCCCCATCTGCCCACCCACCAGCTTTGCAGGAACCCCGGGTTTCTTTCTGCTTTGAGGCGTTGGGGTTCTAGGCGATTCCTGGGAGCCTCTAAGAATACGCCTGCCTGTCCCCGTTTTCTGCTTCTTTCCCAGGATTTGAAAACAAAACCGCAGATGAGGAGTTTAAAGAGGAGCCCAAAGGGGTGGCCTGGCCTGCTGCCGTCTCCACAGAGTCTGGGGCAGATGGTCCTGGGGTGGCAGAAGAGCCCCACCTTCAGGTGCTGGGGCCGGGCCCAGAGGTGAGTGGCTCCGGTGAAGGAGGGTCCGCTCACGGCAGGAGTGACATTCTGGAGGTCCAAGTGGCTGGGGAGACACCCAGGTCGGAGCCAGGGATGGAATTCATCTGCACAGACTGCGGGCTGAGCTTCCGGGAGCTGGCCCGCCTGGAGGCCCACCAGCTGCGGTCTCACCCCGGCGCTCGGGCCTTTCCGTGCCAGTGCTGCGGGAAGAGCTTCGGCCGGAGTTCCATCCTCAAGCTGCACATGCGCACGCACACGGACGAGCGGCCACACGCCTGCCACGTCTGCGGCCACCGCTTCCGCCAGAGCTCACATCTGAACAAACACCTTCAGACTCACTCCTCTGAGCCCGCCTTTCTGTGTGCCGAGTGCGGTCAGGGCTTCCAGCGCCGGGCCAACCTCATGCAGCACCTGCTGGCGCACGCCCAGGACCAGAAGTCCCCATGCGTCCCCGAGACCAAGAGCGAAGCGCGCGAGCTGGCCGTGGTCCTGTGCTCTCACTGTGGCCAGACCTTCCAGCGCCGCTCCAGCCTCAAGCGCCACCTGCGGATCCACGCCAAGGACAAGGGCCACCAGTGCTCTGAGTGCTCGGGCAGCCTGCGCCCGGGCCCCGAGCGCAGGCCTTACGTGTGCGGGGACTGTGGCAAGGCGTTCCGGCGCAGCGAGCACCTGGGGGCCCACCGGCGCGTGCACACGGGCGAGCGGCCCTTCTCCTGCCAGGTCTGCGGCCGCAGCTTCAGCCAGAGCTCCCAGCTGGTCTGCCACCAGCGGGTGCACACGGGCGAGAAGCCCTACAGCTGCCCGCACTGCGGCAAGCGCTTCGTGCGCCGGGCCGGTCTGGCCCGCCACCTCCTGACCCACGGCGGCCCGAGGCCCCACCATTGCGCCCAGTGCGGCAAGACCTTCAGCCAGACCCAGGACCTTGCCCGCCACCGGCGCAGCCACACGGGCGAGAAGCCCTGCCGCTGCAGCGAGTGCGGCGAAGGCTTCAGCCAGAGCGCCCACCTGGCGCGCCACCAGCGCATCCACACCGGGGAGAAGCCCCACGCCTGCGACACGTGCGGCTACCGCTTCCGCAACAGCTCCAACCTGGCCCGCCACCGCCGCAGCCACACCGGCGAGCGGCCCTACGGCTGCCCGACGTGCGGCCGCAGCTTCCGGCGCAACGCGCACCTGCAGCGGCACCTGGCCACCCACGCGGGGGCCGGGAGCGAGGCGGCGGCCCGGCAGGCCGAGCCCCCCCAGGAGTGCCGGGAGTGCGGCAAGAGCTTCAGCCGCAGCTGCAACCTGCTGCGCCACATGCTGGTGCACACCGGCGCGAGGCCCTACTCGTGCGCACAGTGTGGCCGCAGCTTCAGCCGCAACTCGCACCTGCTGCGGCACCTGAGAACGCACGCCCGCGAGACCCTGTACTAACCTCACCCGGGCTCCGCCGGGCCTGCCCTGCGCGCCTCTCCCCGGTGGCCTGCAGAGGACGTCCCGGGGCCCCGCTCCCCCGGCCTCCCTCGGGCTCCACCAACCCTGCGGGTTAGTTCACCCGCCCCCGCGCCGCCCCAGGCATCTCTCCCTGGCCGCAGGGCTGTATTTCAAAGTACCTAAAGTAGGGCGCCTGGGTGGCTCAGTTCGTTAAGCGACTGCCTTCGGCTCAGGTCATGATCCTAGAGTCCCGGGATCGAGTCCCGCATCGGGCTCCCTGCTCGGCGGGGAGTCTGCTTCTCCCTCTGACCCTAACCCCTCTCATGTGCTCTCTCTCATTCTCTCTCTCTCAAATAAATAAATAAATTCTTTAAAAAAAAAAAAAAGAAAGAAATCAAAGTACCTAAAGTAAAACGGCCTTCTTGAAAACCACTCTTCTAATTTTTTTGAGATCCACCAAAACGCTGTCTGTTACCCTCAGCACTGTGACGGGGATGCCTTTTCCCTTCCCTACCCCAGCTCCTTCTACGGTACTCTAGATAGGAGCAGGCCCAGAGAGAGCCCCGCCCACACCCCCCCCCCCGGAAAGGCCCAGAGTTGGGGGGCTGGCAGAGGGGTGCCAACTCTCAGAGCCAGCTGTGAGGAAGGCCACCGAACGCCGCCCTGGAATTTTCCCTTCTCTGGAGTCTGCCCCTAATCTCTGTTGTCCGATACAGTATCCTCTAGCCACATGTGGCTGCTTGAATTAATTAAAATGGAATAAAATTTAACTTCCCAGATTCTGGGTTCTTACGGGAAACCTTGTTTTTGGAATGTAGGTAACTAGTTCAACTTGAAGATGCTAGCAGATGAAATGAAACCTGCTTGATGGCCAAGTTGGATTGTGGGCTCGAGACCCCTAACGACCCATGATCCTGTAAACCCAAAGCTGGTTTGGCTGATTTCCACCCCTTCTACCTACCAGGCAATTTTGGCCTCTTCTCTACTCTGGAAGACAGGTTGTTTTTTTCACAACTAATAGACAGGTTTAAAATCATGAGACTTCTGTTAAGACCACAGGAAAGAAAACAGCCCCCCTCAGCTGCAGAGGACACACATGCTCTTCCTGCTTCTGTCTGTGGCTTTTTGTACCCACACTTTTTTTTCTAAGTTGTTTTTGTCCCTCCAACCTGACACGTAATTGCTGTTTAGCAGATGTTTGTGAACATGAGGTGAACTCGTCAACAAGTGCTCACGGGACTTGGGGAAAATCCGCTCCCAAATGTGGGAAAGTAGAGATGGTTCTTGGGCACAATTGAGTGGGAAGCTCTGAGCCTGGGGAAGGTCTATGCTTTTGGGGTTTGGGAGGAAGATCAGGTAGGGTACAGAGAGTCCCTGGATGTCACAGAACAAATTAGACTCGTGGAAGACCCCAGAGCAGAAAATTTCAAGAAGATAATTTTCTTAGTCAACTAAGAGAGTAAGGAGTTGGGAGAACCCACAGCATTTGGAGGCTTTATTATTTCTTGAGCACCTACTGTGTACTAGGGAATGTGCTGGGCTATTGAGGAGAACAAGGCCTGAAATAGAAGGGAGAGGCAACCACAGAAGAACTGGGGGAAGGGCATCCCTGGCAGAGGAAACAGCATGTGCAAAGGCCCTGAGCTGCTGAGCAGGCAGCTGAAGAACACTGTCCCTGAGGGAGCTCTGTAGGAACCTGATGATACAGACCACCTTAGAGGCCAAGGTTAGAGTTTATTTATTTATGTATTTATTATTTATTTATTTATTTATTTATTTATTTATTTATTTATTTATTTTAAAGATTTTCCTTATCTGACAGAGAGAGACAGCGAGAGAGGGAACACAAGCAGGGGGAGGGGGAGAGGGAGAAGCAGGCTTCCCGTTAAGCAGGGAGCCTGATGCGGGGCTCGATCCCAGGACCCCAGGATCATGACCTGAGCTGAAGGCAGATGCTTAACTGACCGAGCCACCCAGGCGCCCCAGTCAGAGTATATTTATGATGGGAAGAGGGGAGGGTTTTAAGCAGGGAGTTACTTCATTTTGCAATGAAATTGTTTTGACCTTGGTGCTAGATAGATTTGGCTTGAAAGAGGCAAGACAAGGGAGACCAACGAGAAGAGCCTGGAAGTTGTCTAGGCTCTGGTTGACGGTGACTTTGATGGGGCCATGGGTTCATAAAAGCCCCTGATGTCAGCACAGGAGGAGGGTTTCCTCAAGGGAAATCAGTGCAGAAGCCACAAGGAGAAGTGGCAGTGTGACACAGGGTCACTTGAAAATGCAGGGCAAGGATCTAAAACAACCCAAATGCTGACAGGAAGTGGGGAGAGAGGACACGGCCAAGGGGAAGATCCCCCCAACACTCTCCCCTGTAGGGCAGAGGCTGCGAGCAAGCAGGGTCCCTGAGGATGATCAGGGCCACCAAGAAGTTACTAGCAGGTTATGCTTCAGCCATTGTCGCCTCCTGCTGGACTCACAGGTGGCCCCCAGGCAGGCGATTTTTCTAAGAATCAAGAGTTTCTTTCCTACGATCCAAAAGGCTCTGAAGAAGCTGGCCGACAGGAGAGGGGAATGCTGACTCACAGAAGCGCCCCCAGTCCTTGAGGCCTCCTGGCTCCCAAGCCCCTCCCCACATGCCTCTCTCACCTCAGCATCCTTCTCAGACCCAGCGGAGTGCCTGTGGTCCCCTGCCCCAGGCCCATTTCCTCCTTCCTTCTGCTCTGTTCTCAGGTCGGGGCCCTGGAACCAACCCCTCAGCGCCACCTCAGCAGCCGCTATTTGTGGCCGGACACTCCCAGTGCAAAAATCTGTGTGCAGCTACCAGAAGCAGGAAGTCAGTGGGGGGCGGGGGAGCTTGGGGGAAAGGAGGAGGGGTGCCTGGTGGCTTAGTTAGCTGAGCCTCAGTTTCAGGTCTGGTCTTGCTTGAGCTCATGGGTTGGGCCTGCACTGCATTGGGTTCCCCGTTCAGCCGGTAGTCTGCTTGAGAAAGAGTCGCTCTCTGCCTCCACACTCTCTCTCTCTCTCAAATAAATCATCTTAAAACAACAACAAAAAAAGAGGGGTGCCTGGGTGGCTCAGTTGTTAAGCATCTGCCTTCAGCTCAGGTCATGATCCCGGGGTCCTGGGATCAAGCCCCACATCGGGCTCCCTGCTCAG